ACCAGCCGACGGGTCCTCGGCTCTGTCACGGGTCCCATCCCAGTCTGGGAGATGCCGTGACAACACCATTAATCAACGGCGTCGCTCTGCCTGCCGAGCCGCCTGTCACCACCACAGCGTGTGTCTTGGCACTGAACATAAAGGTGTCTCAAGCCGGCTCAGCACAGACTGCGGGGTCCCTCACATCCTAGACAGATTCAATTGCTAAAACCCCCCACTCTACTCCAGGGGTACAGGGGCCAAGGGCCTGTCTGGCCCACGATCGTGCTTTGGACACGAAGCCGGAGCAATAACTAAGTTTTATAGTGCCTTCTTGGTCATTTAACTACACGCCCGAAAGTGGTACGCCCCCCCGTGAAAGCCTGAGGGAGTGTGCTTTACCAGTCAGAAAATCTATTAGCAACTCCTAAGTTGCTTCTCAATGTGTCTTTGTGTCAGTCTCTGACTAGGAGGGGGGATTAATTCTAGGAATGGTGCCCCGGTGGTTTATAAATGCATCCGGTCCGTGGCAGAATTACGGGCGAGCAGAGGAAACCACTTACACGCGCTCCGCACTTAAATTGAGATGGACATGAGTGGGAAAGACCTGGCTCTCTGCTGTGTGATTCGTCCTTTGTCTGTCCTGCAGTGGCCAATCAGAGACCTAGACTGTAATGTGTTCCTGGCCTTTTTGCAATCAGTAAAACTCGCTCCCTGTGGCATTATGGGTAAACAGGGAACAAAAGACATTGATCCAGACTGGTCAGGAGGATCTATGAGAGGATCCATTAGTGCATTGTCAAAATTAGTTTTTAGATGCAGTATGAGGAGGGAAAGAATCAAAGACCAAAACAGAAGAGGCCCAGATATCTAAGATTTCCTTTCTAGGTGACATTTGTGATGGAGAACTCCCTGTTCGGAGATACAGTCCACAATCATCCAATGTCAAACGGAATAGAAAAATGACTGAAAAAGCTAGTCCCTCCTGTATTCGGCGATGGCGTCGATAGTAAGGTTTTACTGCTTAATGAAACACCCGGCTCAACATCAGCGTGAAAAATGGATGCAGACTGCGACCGCTGGCAAAGCTAGAACTAGGATCACGAAAAACTCGCCTTTGAAGGCGGCTTGTGGCAGAGCAGGCAGGAATCCATTCCTGGGATTCTTGGGGATCTGCCTTAGAGGCTCAGGACTGAACACAGGAACAGATTTAGTGAGAAAACAGTGTACTCCTCTCTAGAGAAAAAAACAGTGTTTGCCGTAACAGCCTATATACAGAGGACTCAAATAAAAGGTATAAAGTGCATTTACAGCTCAAAATTGAACTGATTGAGCTTGTACAATAGGTACAATTAGTTTGAATGAAATGGGATGTTTAACTATAAGCCCCACAACTAAATTTGGGGGGGTTTTGCCTCTAAGCTCTCCAGGGAAACCCAAGACACTGGGCAAAGACCTGACCTTCAACAGAGTGCAGTGCTGCCAGTGTTGCTATGGATACAAGGCAGACGAAAGCCTGCAGGGACGTTGAGCCCAGACGATTTTGCCTGATTACCTTATTTCTCAGTGGCCAATTCAAGATGTTCTACAATCAAAAAGCACAAATGTGCCATGCGAGTTATTAGTCCAGGGTAAACACACCATAGACGAGGACATTGTAGGACTGCTGTTGGTGAATAAGTTAAATTAAACCTGCCCACATTAAATTTAGTGTAAATAATCATCATCTTCATCATCATAATCACAATAATAATGTTTTATGCATTGGACTGTAATCCCATCCAGGGTGTCCCCTGTCCTGTGCCCTGTGATGGACTGGCATACCATCCAGGGTGTGCCCTGCCCTGTGCCCTGTGATGGACTGGCATACCATCCAGGGTGTCCCCTGCCCTGTGCCCTGTGATGGACTGGAAATGCTTTTTTCTCAGTGGCAAATTCAAGATGTTCTATTATCAAAAGGAACAAATGTACCATGTGCACAGATACACTTTTCGATCAACAAATTTTCATGACTTCTCCATGACTTTTTCATGACTTCTTCATGACTTTTTCATGACTTTTTCATGACTTCTCCAGGACATCAAGGTAAATTTCCAAGAATCGATCCAAAGAAATATTTCTTTGTTCAGCCCCTTCAGGATAAGTGTTCCTTCTTGTTATGCGATCACCATCGCATGACACCATTACACACAAGTACTTTGTGTGGAGGAACCAGCTGCTCTGACTTTGCATTCACCCTTTGGATATGGATGTATCTTCCATTGCATATCATTTTACAAACATGCATGTTGCTTTTCTGTCTTGTTCAGACACACACAATCAAAAAGACTGCATAGTTTAATTTCCATCTGGTTTAATAATGACTATATTTTCTAGCTATCATCAGATAGAAAGTCATTAATTTATTCCTTACATTTGCAATAATAAGAAACAATCATTATTGAGTTGTAAAAGTTAGTATTTCTGCGTGCTGTTATAATTACCCTGGTGTGACATAAGTGTGATATATGCATCACAAAAAAACGTTAACTTGAAGCATACCCAACATGTTATAGAATGTGCAAAGTTGAAATATCAGACATTATAAAATAATAATAATAATAATAATGATGATGATGATGATGATGATGATGATGATGATGATGCCTTAAACAGGTAACTCCAAGGTGCACTTCGCATGTAAACATGTAGGAAGGTCAGTCCTTGGATGTGATGCGGCTGTTAGCCCTGCATGGAGTTATTAGCTAGAAATGACTTTACAGCTTTTGTCTAAGTATTTATTTTATATATTAAATGTGTTTCTTCCAGTACCCACTTGAATGACACTGACTCTCTCTTCCTCGCTCTCACACACATGCCTTTATTGTCACACTGTCTGATACCTGAAATTGAACTGCACACATTCTGTATCTCAATTTCTCTGCCAGCCTGAACATCTGAAGCATCCAGCAGGCAGCACATTAAGTGTTTATATGCGAGATGCACTGTGGCGTCTCAGAACACCAACACACACAGTCACACAGTTACACACACACACAGTCACACAGTTACACACACAGTCACACAGTTACACACACACAGTCACACACACACACAGTCACATACACACACAGCTGCATACACACAGTCACACACACACAGTCGCGCACACAAACACACACAGTCACTCACACACACACAAAGTCACACACACATGTTCACGTCTTTCTTTTGTTCCATCTGATAATTGGACTTCATATGGTCTCTATACATTCTACTCTTCAAGTCAACAATATTTATTACAAATATAAAAAAATCTTTTAGCAGAGTCCACAAGACCACACTAAATGTATAAATGTATTCCATCTAATATTGTCCAATAATGCACTTCAAGATAAAATTATTTCGTTCTTTTGTGACAAATTTATAATGCGCAGATCGCGCGTATGTCACGTCAAGGCAATTACATTGACATGCATAAATAACGTATTTTAGCACAAAGTTTTACAGCTTAATGATACATTTACACAGATTGTTACCTTTAACTTCACTTGTTCCTATTCAGTCATATTACTGTATTCAGCATAACAAAGAAAACAATGAAACTGTTGAAATTTTTACAAATTTTGTGTATCACTGGTTATGATTAAAATGGCAATAATACCATATGGTAATAAGAGTACAGCAGTAATGCATTACAGCCTGAATCCTTTGCCCTTGAATAGAAAGGTACTAACCTTGCTACATCTTAAAACTTTTTAACATGTAAATTTGTACCATGTTGACGTCACCATGTCACCATTGGTTTTTAAGTGCCAATACTGCGTAGGGAGGTGCCATGTCACAATGTTTGGGGGGGGGGGGGGGGATACCACGTCTAGAGGGTATTTCACGTCAACAGCTTTCCATACTCACGACCTGCTCTGACGCGGAAAGTATAATCAAGATACTGCTTAATTAAGAGAGACGCCGTTATATACTGCGAAGTTCTCAAATACTCCTGTGACTTTTCCAAAACTTTCTGATATTTTTTTATTTTGCATAACTTTTCCAGGTCTGGAAAATTTCTTAATTCCATGATTTTTCCATGACTGTACGAACCCTGCAGAGCGCCCCCTGCAGAACGCCCCCTGCCTTGCGTCCAGTCCACGGTGCCCTGTCTGCCTTGTATTCTGTGCTTCCTGGAACAGTCCCCTAACTCTACAACATTATATTTAATAAGCAGTTACTGCAGATAGATGGATGAAATAATATAATGTTTTTTTAAGTCTTTCAGGATAACCTCTTGGAATATATGGACAGCAACAGCACGTCTCCTTTAGCGACCTCCTGGACTTGCGAATACCACCATCTGACGGCCACGACGCGCCAGATAAGATGCCTTTGGCACCGTCAGACGGCTTGGCTGACCCAGAGTAATGTGGGCCGCGTGGTGCTAATAAAGGCTGCAACATCCCACACATGCACTGACACCCCTGCACGCCTACTCACTGCACGACTACTCACTGCACGCCTACTCACTGCACGACTACTCACTGCACGCCTACTCACTGCACGCCTACTCACTGCACGCCGACACCCCTGCACGGTGACACCCCTGCAGAAAGGTAAAAACCCTTTGGTGTTCAAAGGAGAAACCTGAGACCATGAAGCATCTTATTCAAAATCTCACTGGGATGATTCCATGAAGGGAAATCAACTCAAAGAATTCTGCGACCAGCAGAGGGGGAGGGTACTCATGCCTGGGGTAATGGCAGCAGGGAGGTGAGGCCTAGCGGGATGTAGTTTATGGCAGTAAGCATGCTGGGGATGGGGCGCAGTAAGCATGCTGGGGGCGGGGCATGGTCAGCATACTGGAGGCGGGGCATGGTCAGCACACTGGAGGCGGGGCATGGTCAGCACACTGGAGGCGGGGCATGGTCAGCACACTGGAGGCGGGGCATGGTCAGCATACTGGAGGCGCGGCATGGTCAGCACACTGGAGGCGGGGCATGGTCAGCACACTGGAGGCGGGGCATGGTCAGCATACTGGAGGCGGGTACCTCAGGCAGCCGGTGGCATTGCGCAGCACCTGCGAGGAGTGCAGGTGCAGCTTGCGGTCCTCCTGGTGGGGGGACGTGTCCCATCCGGAGTGCGGGATGATCACCGTGTTGGTGAGCACGGCCAACGCGTCCTGGATGATGGGCATCTTCAGACCGTCGCAGGAGGACAGGTTCCACAGCACACCTGAGGCGAGGGAGGTGCCAGGTCACCAAGACATTCACAAGAACCGCGACACGATCACTCCCTGTTTCGGGTTTGATTGGGTAATTATTGTTATTTTCATATTTCTGCATTATTACAACTGTACATCTGTTACCATTTTCAGACACAAATCATACATATTTCGTCAGTTTATCACATTTATTGCTGTATTATATCAGATCCCAGTGTGACGTGATCGTTACATTCATGATTAATGCCAGACGCACACAGGGTTACGTATGAGACATGTGACATCCATCACAAGGCTCTTTCATCACTGTTCATGTTTACATGTTAGCCTTCAAATGATAAATGCAACATGGCACAAACACTGAAACTTGTTTTCAGATACTAAGCTCAGAAAACTATAGAATTCCTGCTAAAAATGAATAAAAAATGTAAGAGTAAAATATCACGTTATTGAAGTAGAAAAATACTATTATACTAAAAGCAAACATAATTTCCTAAATAGTGTTTGCTTCAAAAAAAATGTATGTCTCAGTACACCTAAGGGTCTGATGCCAACTGATCTTAATTTAGTTAATCACCATTACTTTAATTAAACAAGAATCTCATTTCATAAAGTGTTTTCAAAAAAGTTAAACAAGCCATTGGCTATTCTATTACTTACTGCATCAGAAAACCGCTATCCAGTTAAAAAAGAACAAAAAGTCCTGCACTGAAACCAAAGACTGTGACTGCCAACAATTATTTCAATTATATCAAGAAAATACGGTGTAATGGAATCAGGGCCAAATCAGGATTAAAGTTGTCTTTCAAGACCTTAGATTAAACTAATCTGTTTCTAGGAGTATCTGGCAATGTGTTTCCGATAAAGATCGCACTCTCGGTTCAGGATACGACGTTGCCTTTTAGCTAAGCACACAGATGTCATCAGGAACACAGGGTTATGTTTAGCTGAGGAGCTGGGAAAAAAAATAGGGGAAAAAAGCAATTTGTTGGGGAGTCCTGATAAGGAGAAATAACTTTGCTTGGCGAAATAGAAAGTCAGAGATCTGTTTGGCACTTAATGCCTCTGATAGTGTCCCAGCATTTTAACTCTGTCGAACCACCACTGTCCAATAAAGACCAGACATTAAATGGAAATTTAAATCAATAATGTATATTTAAACCATCCATCTATTCTGGATATGTAGCCATGTGCCCTGCATGTTTACCACCCCCCCCTCGCATGCTTACCATGCCCATCACAGGGCACAGGGCAGGGGACACCCTGGATGGCATGCCAGTCCATCAGAGGACACACACCCTAGGCAATTTATACAGTAGATACTGATATGGACTGAGGGAGAAAACACACTAAATAAGTTGATGGGATTCGGACCCCCAACTCTGGAGGTGTGAAGCAATAGCGCCCCCTTTTGGAGGTACGTGCCACCCCATATATTCAAAAATATATACACAATGTAACATGGCTTTTAATTAATGTTTGCTTGCTTTTCTATTTACCATGGCAACATTCAACATATTATCTCCTGTTACATAATGATATTATTACGGAAGACCAATTTATAATACTTGCAGCTAGCATGCGTACACCAATGTGTTTAACACTCTGAAATAATGAGAGGCGGTCACACTGTTCCCATTAACGTGTGTCTCAGAGTTTCCACATCCTTGCAGTATCTTTGATAAGATAAGTGTTAGTGACTGAGACTGTTACAGGTCGCTTGACACATGCAGTCGTTGTCGGTCCTTGTGAAATCCGATAAAAGGCTTCAGATTTAAGAGCGCGTAAAAGAAGGGAAATAAAACGAGAGAAATGACGCAAACATTCCGCAGGGAATGCGCAGTCAGCGCCGATGCTGAATGTGCAGCTACGAGGCAGTTTAGTGGTGAAGCAAGATTAAAGGCTCCATTTGTACGTCCTCATCTGTCATTTCGGTAAAACGGGGTTCGAACAAACAGACGGATAATTGTCCTATTTAGCAAATCGAGGCAATTCAAGCTTCCGCATTGTCATTGCTGGGCGGCATTTACATAAAATCAACAAAACCCCCCAGTCGCCCACGAACGTCATTTAACAAACGCATCAGTAGCTAAGGCCAGCCGCTTTTGTGTCTGTCCGCTCGCTGTCTTCACCGGCGTGTCCGCGCGTCGCTGATTGAGCTGAATGCCATTTCATACAGAGCACATGTTTATCCGGCAATTCACACATTAAACTCAGCTTAAATTCGGTGCCAGGAGGCTGGTTAGACGGCCACCAAGAGGGGCGCATGGTTCAGGTGCAGAAAGCGAAAATCTGGACCAAGTTTAGTTTCAGCCAACCAGCTGGGTATAAAGAGTCACAGTCACAGAGTACTCCATTGGTTGGCTGGAAACAAAATTTTGTCCGGATTTTTACACCAGAACTTACCACCTCTGGCCACCAGATCAGTTGGCATCAGATTGTTCCGGAGACATATTCATACACAACACGGGATGGCTGGAACATTGGGGAGAGAGCCCCCCCCCCCCCGAAGAGATCCGGCACTGTGTCATAGGCTTCCTTACGTCGCTGATTAACGCAGACTGAAGACCCAGAATCCTGTCTGCCAGACAACCAGTCAGAAGAACAGGTGTTTTTCCTACAACTGTCACAACTTCGAAATTCATCTTATTAAGCGATGAAAGCTTCAAAGCCGCTGAAATAAGCCCCTTATTACATAGAGGAATTTACAGTCCCATTTTCTCTGGGGCTCAGAACTTAAGGGTACCAGAATCGAAATATTAAATATAGTGCGGGTGTGATTATCACGTGTTACAGACGTGTTCGTGGCAGCTGATGTGACTCTACATGTTACTGTACATTTCACGTGACGGCAACAGCACTTTGTGACAGCGATGTGAAAGGTGACTCCGCTTCCCAGGCTAATTAAGCAAACGAAGCAGGCCAACGATAACTGGACACGACAGAAAAGTTTTTCCTTTCGTGTGTCAAATCATTTTGACCTGACAGGTACTGAGAACCAAAAGCAAACTGACGCATCATTCAGCCGCCTGATGTTTTGGTTAAAGGCAGGTTGGGGCATAATCACTATGGCAGACTGCAGACTGGTCTCTTTGCTGAAGAACTATATATTCACATTTAGGGCCCAGATTCAGCTTACAAAGGCTACAGGCATGAAACACTCTGAACAGACACAATCAGGAGGTGACTGTGCACATGTACTAGGATGGAGGTGATTGGGCATATATATTAGGATGGAGGTCACTGGGCACATATATTAGGATGGAGATCACTGGGCACATGCACTAGGATGGAGTGATTGGACATATATATTAGGATGGAGGTGACTAGATACATATATTAGGATGGAGGTCACTGGATACATATATTAGGATGGAGATCACTGGGCACATATATTAGGATGGAGATCACTGGGCACATATATTAGGATGGAGGTCACTGGGCACATATATTAGGATGGAGATCAATGGGCACATGCACTAGGATGGAGTGATTAGACATATATATTAGGATGGAGGTGACTAGGTACATATATTAGGATGAAGGTGATTGGGTACATGCACTAGGATGGAGATGATTGGGCATATATATTAGGATGGAGGTCACTGGGTACATATAGTAGGATGGTGATCACTGGGCACATATATTAGGATGAAGGTCACTGGGTACATGTACTAGGTTGGAGGTCACTGGGTACATATATTAGGATGGAGGTCACTGGGCGCATGTACTAGGTTGGAGGTGTATTAGGATGGAGGTGACTGGGCACATGCATTAGGATGGAGGTCACTGGGTACATGTATTAGGATGGAGGTGTATTAGGATGGAGGTCACTGGGTACATGTACTAGGTTGGAGGTGACCACACATATAAGTTCCGTACACAGCTGGGAATCGAATCCCTAACCCTGGAGAGCAGAGGACACTCTGCTGCGTTTGCTCCTATGCTTTCAGTCTAATTTACACAGAGACACATTCAATCAAACACCTTCACTCCAGAAAGCGAGAGATGAGGGCACATTGTAGCTCATTTGTGCCCTGAAAGCATTACCTTCATCCCGCGATGGCAAACACTGTTGAGAGAATTTCCAACAGAAGAGCAGGAACAATGAAAGGTATCACTAAAATGTTATTAAACTCGTTATTCCACCGCACTCCCCCCAATTAAGGGCACATCCTCAGTAAAATCACTTACAGTAATTACATTTATAGTCATTCCCTGTTATATCTTTCTCCTTTTTTATGGTTCCTGTAATATTGATCTAAGGCACCGGCACTTTCAATGCCTGAAGAAGAGATATTATGACGGCGGGCTTTTCACTTCTCCGAGCCCGCGAGGCGTCTCAAAATGCCAAAACGCCGCTAAAACGTTAATCAAGGTTCAAGATGGTGGCAGCGTTCCGCGATCGAGAGCCGGCAAGAGCTGAAATTGCTTCCGCCGGTTTCGCGCGAGCCGGGCCTCCCAGAATCGCGGCGCGCCTGGAGACGGCATGCTGTGAGGATGGAGGAGACGCGGGGGCCGAGCGGTCGCTGCTGGCACGATGGCTGCTCTCTCGCTGAACCCGGCTGGGACAAGCCCCGCCCCCATCTACAGTCCCCCGCTACATGCCCCAATGTGGCATGTGGCTCAGCGGGTCAGGACAATATGCCAGTGCTCAGAAGGTTGCTGGTTCAAATCCCAGGGTCAGCAGAGTGATTTCCCCGTTGGGCCCCTGAGCGAGACCCTAACCCCCTAATTGCTCCTGGCACTGCAAGGCTGTCACTTTAAATTAAAGCACCTGTCAAATAAATTAAATGCAGTTTTAGTGATAGTGCTGCTGGAAGGTACTGTTACAGCACTGCAGGTCTATATCTGCGCCTATATCTGCCCCTACTGGCTCACATTCTGAGCAGCTGGGGCGTCATGGCCGTCGCAGGTCTATATCTGCGCCTATATCTATGCCCCTACTGGCTCACATTCTGAGCGGCTGGTGCGTCACGGCCGTCCCAGCTGAGATGGGATGGTCCACACAGGTGTGTGCGGACGCCGCTAACAGAGGATGAGCGAAAGGTGCCCTGTGATCAGGAGGGGGGGGGCCGCAGCCCAACATGCCCCAAGCAGGATGTCCCCTTCATCCAGTGACAGGGACCCAGGTGCCATGTGTGTGAAACTGCACTTCAAATGGATACAGGAAATACAGACTATAATCCATGCAGGCGTCCATGCTGCTTATTCAGGGGGCCTGGAGTCTCCCCCCGAATCCACAGGGGACAAGCAGGGGCCACCCTAAGTGGGACGCCAGTCTATAGTATTCAGGGGGCCTGGAGTCTCTCCCCGAAACCACAGGGGACAAGCAGTGACCACCCTAAGTGGGACGCCAGTCTATAGTATTCAGGGGGCCTGGAGTCTCTCCCCGAAACCACAGGGGACAAGCAGTGACCACCCTAAGTGGGACGCCAGTCTATAGTATTCAGGGGGCCTGGAGTCTCTCC